AAAATCTGGGGAAAAAAAAAAAGACTTTTGACTAGGTTTTCGGAGGATTGCAAAAATGCAGTAGATTTTACTTCCTGGGATCCGGTGAAACTTGTGCAGATGGTTGCAAAAAATTGGAGGAGATTTTGTTCGAAAATGATGCAATCTGCGGAAAAGAATACAATATAAGTTAATACGTAACATCAAAATGCTGAAAAAAAAAAACCGTAAGTTGAGAAGGAAAATAGGGATTGGAATAAATATACAAGTGTAAAGCCACATAAACAAGGAAGCTTATCATTTACTTTACCTTAGAAAATATGGGGTAATGGAGAGAAGAATGAAGGCAGTGAAGGTAGTGGAAGCTGGAAAAACAGCTGTTTGTGCGGTGAAATTAAGCAGTTGGTTTGCTGAGAAAGGCTAAATTGTACTGGATGTCTCCAAGCATGCCACTGACTTGGTTCTTATATAGCGTGTGAGATTAGAGAGATGCCACGTCATTGCTGTCCTAACCAATAAAAAATGATAACTCATCAATCATGTAATGCAATGTTAAATTTTTTTAACACATTTTTAATAATTCACTTTATTTCAAGTAATGAAGGATAGAATTAAAAAAACTAATTAATTACAATAATAATTTATATTTTTAATCCATAAGCATAATCAAAATAAAATACTTATTGTGGAGGCAAAATGTTTATCAATTTAACTTCTAAACTAATTTAAAAAAAATATTAAAATTATGTAATTTCATTAAATTTTATTTAAAAATTAAAATAATATATTTTCAAAAGATGAAGGAGTTTGTTTTCGCTTTTTTAGTAAGGTAAGGAAGAAGATGGGAAAGTAAAAAGAGGAAGAGAGAAAAGCGAGAAAGAGGAAGAGGACAAGCCAAATCATGAAGGATTTTTTTTTATCCCTGTACAAGTGCTTCTTCGATTTGAAGAACCAATATCTCAATTTGGGAAGATGAAGAACCCGGCCAGATCGTGCACAGGTATTGTTTTGTTTTTAATTTCTTTTTTTTTTTTTAATTTCAATTATTATATGATTTTGGGTTAAATGCTAATTTTGATCCTTCAACTTAAGATTTTGCACAATTTTGATCCCTCAACTTTTTTGCACTCTTTTGGTTTCTTAATTACAAAAAATGTACTTTTTTAGTCTTTCATTAGTTAATCCGTTAAATCCATTTAAATTTACACATTTTTAATCTCTCAACTTTAAGTTGAGGGACAAAAAATATGCATATATTAAAAGTTGAAAGACTAATAGTGTGTAAATTCAAATAAACTTAACAGATTAACTGAAGGAAGGATTAAAAAAGTATATCTTTCATAATTAAGGGACAAAAAAATGTCAAAAAAAAAATTGAGGGATTAAAATTGTGCAAAACCTTAAAATTGAGAGACCAAAATTGACATTTAACCTATGATTTTGTGTGTAATAAACTTTGTTTTAAAGTGAGATCAATAAATGTATTAGGGATTTAAGATATTTTGATATTTTATATACAAAAAATAATAACAATAAATTAAAATATTTTTAATAAATAACATACAAAAAATTTGTTAAAAAATATTAGAATAATTTTATAAAATTTTCACTCAATTATTTATTTAAAAATATAATAATTTTTAATTTGCTCAAAACTTCCACGTAATTTTTAAATAAAAAATGAAATTTTTTAAAAGTTAAGGATTCACGACAATACTTAATTAACAAAAGAATGAGAAAAGGTAAAAAAATAATCTTAAAGGATTAAAAATAAAATTTTTTTAATTGTGTAATTAAAAAAAAATACTCTATACAACAATTAAAAGGCCAAAATAAAGTTTTAATCTTTTTATTTTTTTGGCAAACCTTAAATCAAGCTGCCACCACAAGTTCACCAACAAATGTTTCACCTTTCGTCTTTCTGACCACCTTTTATCTTCATATAAATAAAATACAAATAAATATTAAATTATTATAAAAATAATAAATTTAAAAATTTATTTATTTTAATAAAAATGTGAAGTAAATTTAAAGATTTT